AATGCCAATTGCAACCCCCCCAGTCATGGGTCTGCTGTGAATCAGGGTCCTATGACGCCTTCCTGGGTTCCACTAATTTGCTAGAGTGGCTCACAGAACTGAGGGGAACACTTTCCTTGGCTATATCAGTTAATTGTCACAAAGGATATTACAAAGGTGACAAAGGAACAGCCAGATGGAAGAGAGGCATAGGACAAGTGTGTAGGAAGGGGTGCAGAGCTTCCATGCCTTTCTGGGCACACCACCTGCATAGGTCCACGTCTTGAGCTATCCAGAGGCTCTCTGAACACAGTCCTTTCAGTCTTTTTTTTTTGTTTTTTTTTTTTTGAGACAGAGTCTCGCTTTCCTTGCCCTAGGCTAGAAGTGAGTGCCGTGGCGTCAGCCAGCTCACAGCAACCTCAAAACATACACCACAGAGAGGGAGCTCAAGCAATTCATCAATGCAATACGCTCCGGTAGTGAGAGGACATAAAAAAACAGAAAACAACAAGCCACCATAAAAAGGCCGGCTGATTTATATAAAATATATTAAAGAAATAATTTTTTCTATAAAATTTTTTTTAGAAGAAGAGGAGGACACACCACAAGAAAGAGCTGGTTAAATACAGAGACATTGAGCATCAACACACGCCCGCCTCAAAAAATACAAAAACAAGAAGAGCTAGGATTACAGGAACAGAAAGGCCCCAGCAGGCGGGAAAGAGTATAACTTAAATATTCGGTTTTAATATGAAAGATATCCTTATTGTTGGCAGTGATCGTTGCAAATATCAAATATAGACAAACAAAACAAGGAAAACGTTATATAATAAAAAAAATAACAAACCTACTTAACACATGGCTGGTTTCAAAACAACAAGCACAACAACAATAACACCTGAAAAGACAATCCAAAGAAAAAAACATACACAAGAGAAGTCAATTTCATTAGAACAAATTTAACAAAGCTATCAAACATATAGAAAATTCCAGGGGATTCTTAGGCAGCTTTGTGTCAGACAACTCCCTATCACTCAGGAACAATTACCATAAGATATTAAAGGAAGATCTGTGTCAGGACGCTCGGGTCAAACCAAATAGCGCAGGACAAAAGATCCTAGCACCCCTATCTACAAGGGGATTGTTAGGAACTGATGTCAGGAAATGGGGACAAAGCCCAAATATAATTTCACAATATCACAATATTATTACAAAATTTTCATTGTATAATTACGTCTGTGTCTTTCTTTTGTAGCGATCCCCAGAGGGACAGGACTATATACCCAGTCCTATGTTCACTCTTGTGGTCTTCAAGCCCTGAACACATGCTATGCCTATATTAGATGTTCAATCGATTCAATTCATTTATTGTTTTTGAAATGTCTTTCTTCATTTTTTTTCCCAATTCTACCCATCCTTGATGGCAATGCCACAAGCATTCCTTACTATTCCAACTATTAATATACTTACTGGTGACCTGGACATGTAATATTGTAATTACTTTTTCATGAATACATAATATATTACGAATACAAAATTTATCACCCGACTCCACTGTAAGGTCTTGGCATTTCGTTCACCAGCACTAGTCCAATCCACACAACATCTTGGAAAAACCACTTATATGGCCGGGCGCCGGTGGCTCACGCCTGTAATCCTACGCTCTGGAGGCCGAGGCGGCGGATTGCTCAGAGCTCAGGAGTTTCAAACCAGCCTGAGCAAGAGCGAGAACCCGTCTCTACTATAAATAAAAGTTTATTGGACAGCAAAATATATATAGAAAAATTAGCCGGGCATGGTGGTGCATGCCTGTAGTCCCAGCTTACCTTTCGGGGAAAAAGGGCCCTGGGAGGCAAGGAAGGGGAAAATTTTCCCCGCCCCTTTTTTTTGAAAGCCCCCAGGGGAGTTTTTTTTTGAGGGGTTTGCCCTTTTTTTTTTTTGGGTAGCTAGGCCCCTTTGTGTGGGGACGCCCAAAATGGCCCCCAAAAAAAAACCCTCAAACCTCCTTTTAAAAAAAAAAAAAAAAAAAAAAAAACCCACTTTTTTTTTTAATAAATGTTTTAAAACTTATAGTAAACTAAAAGCTTTAAGACTAAAATTAGAAAAGAGGACCCAAGGAAAAATACCCAAAAATTGGGGGAAAAAGGACACCCATCCTTTCTAACAAACCCAAAAAAAAATCTTTGGAAAGGAACCTGGGGGGAGTTTTTTTTAAAAGGTTTAAACAAAAAATTTTTAATAAAAAATATAAAATATATAATTGTTTAATAAAATGCCCCATAGAAAGGAGGTTTTTAGAGACAATGCCAAGGGGAAAAAAGATTTTTTTTTTTTTTAACTGGAAAGAAACCTAGGAATAAATCTTTTTTGGAAAAAAATGAGGTTTTTTTCCCGGCCTTTTTACATCCCCTTGTCCCCAACAAAGGTTTTATCCTTGGGTTCCCCGGTTGGTGGGGGAACAAAAATTAATGTTGGTTTTGGGTTGGGTGGGGATGGTGGGATTGGCCCCCCCTTTTTGTTTTTTAAAAGGAAAGGGGTTTTTTAAACCAATTAAATTTTTTTTTTTGCCAGGTTGGGCCTATGGTTTTTTTTAATCCTTGGTCCCTTTCCCTTCCTGTGGGGTTCCCCCCCCCCCCCCCCCCCCAAAAAAAAAAAAAATGGATTCCCCCAAGCCCCCTTTTGGGGGGGAGGCCCCAGTTTTCCCAGAAAAAGCCCCCCCCCCCAAGAATGCAAAAAAACAATTAATTCCCCTTCCCCCAAAAAACCTTTCCATCTCCCTTGTGGGTTTGGGGGGAAACAGCCAGGAGGCTGAGGCAAAGGATTGCTTAAGCCCAGGAGTTGGAGGTTGCTGTGAGCTAGGCTGACACCAGGGCACTCACTCTAGCCTGGGCAACACAGTGAGACTCTGTCTCAAAAAATAAAAAGAAAGAAAAAGGAAAAAGAAAAAGGAAAAAAAAAACTGGCCAAGCAAAAAGGAAGTAATCTGAGTACATTATATTTGTAGTAGAGGCCAATGCCTGAAGCTGGCTTTTCCCCACTCCTTGTGTATCCTATGTCGGTTAGCTCAAGTCATTAAAAGGAGCCATAATGGGGTAAAAAGTAAAAGCACAGTTGACCCGACTCAAATTTCCTAGTCCGATTTCCCACTCAACACAGGAATTCCCTCCACAGCATGCTTTGTAGATCTTCGGACAACTCTAATTCAATATTTAAGTGATGAATAATTCACTTCAAGGCAGGTCAAAGGAGCAGACCCTAGTTGTGTGTAGTGAGCCAAGTCTTCCTTCTGTGACTGCCATGTAGCCCTCGTCCTGGTGTCTGAAATGGCCACAGGGAAGTCTGTTCCCTCTTCCATTTGCTGAGTGGCCGTCATTGCTGTGTCATTGCTGGCTTAGCCTGTAAGATATTGGGCTATAAAGACAATAGACACCTTTCAGCTTCTGTTTACTGCTTATTTGCTAACCGCAAGGCATTATAAGTACATTATGAGATGCAAAAGAAAAAGACAAAAAAACGCAGACACCAGAGTCTCTCAGCTAAGACCCAAAACAGGTTAGAGCCTATCAAGAGAAAAATAAAGTAAAAATCACTATGGGGGCAGATGCATGACAAGTGTATAAACAACTGAGTTATAAAAGGGTCACTAACACACAAAGCGGGGTCCCTGCCCAAAAAAGAGGCCACTGCGCTGGCACTCTGAGAGCTCAGACCCTAGCTCGAGCTAGACAATAAAACTCTTTTTGATAATTACAGCCTCAGTGACTCTGTCTCTCTGTCCTGCGGCCTTATAAATCTCAAATATAACAAGCCTTGCCCATTTCTGAAACCCAGTCTGGCAAGAAACAAGAAGCTCTCCCCACTCGTGAGCAGACTTTGGTAATAGTTGATATACCAATGGCGAAGAAAGTTCTGGAAGTCCGTGTGAGCAGTGGGGAGAGGCTGCCTATATTCCTCACCTGCAGCGAACAGACACATTCACGCACTGACCACTTCCAGGGACAGCCAGTCTGTCTGATAGTGCCAGCAGGGTTCTCTGTCCCCATTCATGTTCCCCACAGGTAACAAAGCTTGGTCCTGAATTCCAGCTTTGTAGAATTTTCCAATTCCCTTCACCATACTTATCCCATCCTCTTTCCTGGACGATTCTTGGTATTCCTTGCAATGACTCTGCTCCGACAGTCCTCCCTGACTTATGATCCTGGAAACCCATGTGATGTTGAGTGTCACCCTGCCTGGGAATCCCACACGACATGCTGTGTCCACAGCATGAAAAGCTTCCCCTCTCGGGGAGTGTGGCTAACCCAGATTCACCTGGAGTTTGCTGCATTCCCATGGACTTGCTCATCTGTCTGCACACGTTTTCCCCACTGGGAGAAGGTTTTTCTCACCACTGCCTCTCTCGGGCCCTGGCTCACAGACCCTGCTTGTTGGAATGTCCCAGCATGCCGTGCAGCTCAGATTGTGAGTTATGACATACGAGTGAGAGAATGTTAGAACTTGAAGGAATCTTAAAGACCATCTTCTCCAGTGGTTTTCCACTTTTTCTCTTAATCATATATCTCAAGGAAAAACACAAACAATAGCAGGGAATATCTTCTTTTTAGAGTTAAGACAAGAAAATAAACACAGAGGCCAAGTGGCCTGCCAACGGTCCTACAGCAAGTTATGATTAAAAACTAATTAAACTGGGTGTGGTGGCTCACACCTGTCATCCTAGCACTTTGGGAGGCCAAGACGGGAGGATCACTTGAGGCCAGGAGTTCAAGACCAGTCTGAGCAACACAGTGAGACCCTGTTTCTATCAGAAATTTTTAAAAATTAGCTGGGCATGGTGGTGTATACTCGTGGTCCCAGTCCCAGCTACTCGGGAGGCTGAGGCAGGAGGATCCCTTGAGCCCAGGAGTTTCAGGTTGCAGCGAGCTATGATGACACCACTGCACACTAACCTGAGCAACGGAATGAGACCCTGTTTCAAAGTAAAATAAAATAAAATCTGATTATATGACATATAGTGTAGCATTTTGTTTATCATTAATAGTCACATTTGGATCTTTTTTCTATTAACTTAGATTAATATATAGAACATAAAGAAAAAAGAAAATAATGCAAGTGTGTATAGAAACTACAGCATTTTGGCAATTTGGTTCTAGACCAGAGTAACACGCTGTATTTTTCTTAACCAGTCTTTTCAAAGAACAAAACCACATTGTACTACATTTTCCTCAGTTTCTTATTTAACAAGCACAAGATTCTATTTTACTAAAAGCTAGCAATGCAAAATGGCCAGAAATTATTGAGAGAGAAGACTGAGAAAGAGAGATGAGACTGGAAGGATGAGGGCTGAGTAGAATTCTTTGAAAAAAGATAACAGGAGATCTCAGCTGAATAAATAGAGAGTCTTTGGGAGGCTGAGGTAAGAGGATTGCTTGAGGTCAGGAATTCGAGACCAGCCTGAGCAAGAGTGAGACCCCTGTCTCAACAAAAAATAGACAAATTAGCTAGGTGTGGTGGCTCATGCCTGTAGTCCCGGCTACTTCGGAGGCTGAGTTAGGAGGATCACTCGAGCCCAGGAGTTTGAGGTTGCTGTGAGCTAGGCTGACGCCATGGCACTCTAGCCCAGGTGACAGAATGAAAAAAAAAAAAGAGGCCGGGCGCGGTGGCTCACGCCTGTAATCCTAGCTCTCTGGGAGGCCGAGGCGGGCGGATTGCTCGAGGTCAGGAGTTCGAAACCAGCCTGAGCAAGAGCGAGACCTCGTCTCTACTAGAAAGAAATTAATTGGCCAACTAATATATATAGAAAAAATTAGCCGGGCATGGTGGCGCATGCCTGTAGTCCCAGCTACTCGGGAGGCTGAGGCAGGAGGATCGCTTGAGCCCAGGAGTTTGAGGTTGCTGTGAGCTAGGCTGACTCCACGGCACTCACTCTAGCCTGGGCAACAAGTGAGACTCTGTCTCAAAAAAAAAAAAAAAAAAGAAAGGAGGGTTTCCAAGAGAGTTATTAGGCACTGTAGTCATCTATTAGGGCTGCTATTAAAAAAATACCACAGACTGTGGCTTAACAACAGACATTTATTTTCTCACAGTTCTGGAGGCTAGAAATCCAATATCGGATGTCTTCAGGGTTGGTTTCTGGAGAGCCCTCTCTTTCTAGCTTGCACATGGCCACCTTCTTGCTGTGTCCTCACATGGCCTTTCCTCTGTGCTCGAATGGAGAGAGAGAGAGAGCTCTAGTGTCTCTTCTTCTTCCTATGAGAACACCGGTCCTATTGGATTAGGACCCCACTCTTATGACCTTATATAGCTTTATTTATCTCCTTACAGGCCCTATTTCCAAACACAGTCACTTGTGGGGTTAGGGCTTCAACATATGAATGGCGGGGGCCAGGCAATTCAGCCCATAAACAGCCATTCTCTCTGTTTCTTCCATATTATGCACTATCTGCACTTCTTTATTTTATTTTATTTTTTCTTCTCTCTCTCTCTTTTTTTTTTTTATTTACACAGACAAAATTACTCATTTAAAATGCACTTCTTTTCTTGAAAGTTGTCTTGTGTGTTCACAGAAAAGAGACAAAAAAAGAATTAGTGTTTGTCAGGGCAACAGCTGTGCCACTGTGATACAATGTGTAGCGTGTAAGTAATGGGTTTTTTCAGCTTCCCGAGAGCATGAAGTACCTGAATTCACCTCCGGTTCTATATAAAATGCAATGCAGACGATCTGGGCACTGTTCATCTTCTGTGACAACTCACTCTGCATTGACCAAATCAATTATTAACAACTCCCAACCCCACTCATAATTTTGTACAGGCCTTGCTGTCACTGGATAGATTGGCTTTTATTCTCGTTTTTGGCAATACTGCAAGTTTTCTGCATGTGGTTACATTGACAGCATATATATTAAAAGCAGAGCAATGGATTATTGATATCCAACATAAAAGAAAAATGAAAAAATATCGTGAAGGTCATTCATAAATGCTGGACTGAATTTCTCCTTTGGATACTAAAGTTAATAGCAATAATTATGTTAGTGAATTTTGTTAAGCTCTTTACAGAAAGTATTTTCCTTCTTTTTCATTAAAGATTTTAGTTGTGAAGGGTGGTAGAATATGTCACCCCAAAAATATGCCACTAAGTTATAAGAATTATTTTGAGCTAAAGGCACTTGAAAAATAGCAGATACAAAGGGGACACTCTGACCTCCTCTTTTTTCCCTTGTACCAGGAGAAAAGAAACATTCTTAACACCAGAGACAAGGAGTTGAGGCCAACACAAATTTGTGCAAACAGACCTTGTTAAATAATCCTTTTTTGGGGGGGGGACAGGGTCTTACTCTGTCATGCATGCTAGAGTGCAATGGCATCATTATGATGCTAGGATTACAGGTGTGAGCCACCTCGCCCAGCCTGGAGAAGATGGTCATTAAGATTCCTTCAAGTTCTAACATTCTCTCACTCATATGTCATAACTCACTGCAACCTCAAACTCCCAGGCTCAAACGATCCTTCTGCCTCAGTCTCTCCAGCAGCTGAGACTACAGGCGTGCACCACCACACCTAGCTAATTTTTCTATTACATATTTTTTGTAGAGATGGGGGTCTCCTTATGTTGCTCAGGCTTATCTGGAACTCCTGGCCTCAAGTGATCCTCCCACCTTGGCCTCCCAAAGTGTTAGAGAAGTACAGGCGTGAGCCACCACACCTGGCCGGAATAACTTTATCTTCCTTTGCCTCCCCATACATTTTAATTCCTTTTTCCGCAATTGCCACTCTTTGTCCTATCTATCTATCTATCTATCTATCTATCTATCTATCTATCTATCTATCTATCTATAAACATTTGGGTTTTGCCACTTTTTTGGCGTTCTCATTTTCTTGTGGGAACTTCCATGTACACGTGAAATAAAATCTGTGTGCTTTTCTTCTGTTAATCTGTCTTATGTCAACTTAATTCTCTGTCCTAACCTAAGACTCTAAGAGGGCAGAGGTAGAGTTTTGCCTTCTCTGCAGCTGGAAGGGCAATACATGACGTCTTAAAAAAAAATCCCTGGTGATGTCAGGAACACGGCAGAAAAGCAAGATTCTGACTCTCCCTCCACACACAGACATTCCAAATAAACGTCTGTTCATGGATCAATTCCCACTGGGGGAAAGTCAGAGACAAGGTGAAAGACTCCCACCCACCTGGTAACTGAGAAAATAGTCACATTCAGTAGGTGAAAAACCCAGGTATACTTGGGCCCAGACTGTACCCTGGGCACTGGGCCATAAGACTCCTGGCCTCAAGCACTTCTCCCTCCTTAGCCTCCCAAAGTGATGGGAATATACGCATGAGCCACTGCGCCTGGCGCCCCAAGCCTCTTAAAGCACAGACTACTCTGCTTTTGGACTACCCTGAGATCAATCCTGTTGGATTTTCCAGATTTCTTAAATCCCTTAAAAACCCTGTTCTACCTACTGGTTTAGACTTCCTCCCACCTACCCAGCAATGCTGTTGCAGCTGTTCTTGCAGGGCCTGTATTACCTCGCAGTTCAGGTCTGTACAGTCTAGTTCTAGGTCTGTACAACCTCTCACCTAGCTGTGGTCTGGATCCATAAAAAGACTCTATAAATGCTCAAAAGATCATTCACTACATACTTTAAAAAATGTCATTCATGGCCGGGCGCAGTGGCTCACGCCTGTAATCCTAGCACTCTGAGAGGCCGAGGTGGGCAGATAGCTCGAGGTCAGGAGTTTGAAACCAGCCTGAGCAAGAGCAAGACACCCGTCCCTACTATAAATAAAAAGAAATTAATTGGCCAACTAATATATATAGGAAAAATTAGCCGGGAATGGTAGTGCATGCCTGTAGTCCCAGCTACTTGGGAGGCTGAGGCAGGAGGATCGCTTGAGCCCAAGAGTTTGAGGTTGCTGTGAGCTAGGCTGACGCCACGGCACTCACTCTAGCTTGGGCAACAAAGTGAGACTCTGTCTCAAAAAAAAAA